CCCCCCTCCTCCGGTCGTCGGTAATAGAAGCCCCATTCGTCGCCTCGCCTTCCACCCTTTCCTGTCCCTCCCTCCCTGCAAGAGGCCGTCCTGGACCTGCTTGTGGATGCATTTGTATCGATAAGATACTGTCATAAATGCAAAGTTGCCGTACATTAGGATTCGCCAACTGTTTACAAAAAATACCGAAACTACTCGATCATCACAGTGTAGGTATCCCATGTTAATGATATTACTGTGATTGCTCCCAAACGCCAGGTGCAACTTTGTCAGACTGCCCGATCCCTTGAACTGCATATCTTTAGCTCATAATCACCGATTTTTTTGTATTATCCCTTCCAGGCTCGCCCGAGTGATCGTTTACCTTTTTCTACTAATAGAGCTTGTAAAATATAAAAGTATCTTGCAAAATGTGCTTAATCGAAAAAATGAAAAACACGGAAGGATGTCTACCAGAACCAGGAAAAAGCTCACCAACACTTGGACGTTTTGACATCTTATTGGTGTTCCTGGAAAAGCCTTTTGAAGGGGTTCTTAAGAAAGTTTTGTCAAAAAATTTTCTTTTGGTCGTCTACAGACCATCCGAATTGCTGGTCTAGCGTTCCGGTGTCGCTGGTTCCAGCAGAAAAAAAAGTCTGACGTTTTTGTGCGGGACTTCGTTGGCTTGAGTGACACATTGGGGTTGTGCATGAAATGTGCTGCTAGTGCCGAACATGTAAATCCCCACTGATATAAAACATTTACCTTTTTCGGCGCTGATCAGTTGCTAAGTGCATTGGTTGTAAAAATCAATTCTACAGTTAATGTGATGCAAAAAAAGCACCGTGATTTATTTTTTAAATTTTAGATGAAGGAAAAACTAGCCGTATACTTTAATCGACTCGAGGAACTAAAGGAGAACTACCGAGTATGCTTTGAAAACGAAATCAAAATGGGCAAATTGTTGAATAAAAGAGCGGAGTATTTGCTACAGGTACGGTTTTTACGTCTTAGCTGCTTTCGTGTACGTCTGAGCCTGCGTACAAGCACGCGAAAGTTATGGCTGGAATATTGCTAACTCGGAAACCAAAAAAGCTGGAAGGCTGAAGTTCTGAGCGAATTTTCCCAGCCCACGTACAACTTAAAAATTTCAAATTCAGTCCTCATGTGTATCGTCTGTGAAAATTATCGATTCTTTACTAATCCGAATAAGTTGAGGTTTTTTACCTTTCTTTCGGATGAGACGATGATGGTAAGGGGAATGAAGCTTCTAGGATCATATTCTGGATTACGACAAAGA